AGTCACAGTTTGTTGTGACACACCGCCAAATGCCTTTGCATAATCAATGAAACACAGATATACATTACTCTGGTACTCTTTGCTTTCAGCTAAAAACAGCATGCAAAAGAACCAGAAGAGTGATAGCAGAAACAAAATATTTGTTGTAGAAAAAAAGCTCCTGTAGTTTTAGGTGCTGTACCAGCATCCATCCTGCTGCTGTCAAGTTGCTTTTGACTCAGAGCAACACTACAAGACAGAGTAGCATTTCTCTACAAGGTTTCTAAGGCTGCTTTTCTTCTGTTTCTTGAACAAATCGTATTTTTTTAAGAAAACAATCTAACTTACAAAAATCCCTACATATTTAAAGGAAAACAGTCAAGCATAATTATAATAAAAATTTTAACACGAAGAATAAAAATGTTTGCAAACAAAGTGAAGGAAATGAAATCTTGGAAAATGTGGTTGTTGCTACACTTTTAATATCTTTTTCAAAGTCCAAATGCAGGTAAACCCTCAATGTGTAGCAGTATTATTTCCATATGGTGATATCCATAATAATTTTTGGGCAGTGATGCTTTCATTAGCATGCCCATGGTGTTCAGTGTTTAGTGGAGCTTCCAGATTAAGACAGGTTTGGAAGAAGTAGTGGCATAAACTTTCTAAACCACATGCCTCTATGAACTATGAAACTCTCTGAACGTAGAGAAACAATGATAATTATGGAACATTTTCAAGCCTTTTGTTCATAGAGTCACTATGAGTCATGCTTGACTCGAAAAAGTCAAATACAACGTTTTCATTATATTCATAGAAAACTCTTTGGAAGAAAAACTATACAGTAGATGATAAAAAAGCTTATAACAATCAACTAACAATGGAAACTCACTGGGAAATCTCAGTAGATCTCATTGTTAGTTGGTCATTATAAGCTTCCCAAGGTTACAAATTACTTTTCCGAGAAGTCATCATATTTGAATTTTTTAAGGAAATAAAAGGCAATACATTTTTAAGTAAGTAGACTTTTACATCCTCACTTACAATTGTACTCACTGTTGTCAAGTTGATTCCAACTTTTAATTTCTCTCCATCAAATATCTGAAGCCTGAGATTATATATCATGCATCTTCCTTGTAACAGTTGGTGTTTTAGAATCATTATCTTTAGGTTCATAGCACCTAGCACACTATGTCATCAGAATTTCTTAAATAATTAATCATACCTATACTTTACTGCCTGTCTTGTGCATACAGATTCTTTCTGGAGGTATTAATACTTGTCATTATCAATATCATGTTTTCAAAGTTCCTTCGACTTTAAATATACTGTCCCTAACCTGGAACTGCATCTCAGCAGAAAACTGCCAGAAGTGCAAGCTGTCTTTAGAAGAGGCTGCGGCACTGGGGATCTCATACCCAATGTCAGATGGTTCTTGGCTGAAAGCAGAAAGTACCATAGGAATTTGCATCTATGTTTCATTAATATGCAAATGTATTTGACTGTGTGGATCACAACAAATTGTGGCTAACCTTAAGAAGAATGGGAATCCCAGAACACTTAATTGTGTTAATACAAAACCAATACCTAGACCATGAAGCAGAACAGAGCAAGGAAATACTGCATGACGCAAAATCAGGAGTGTCAGGGATGCATCCTTTCTCCTTAATTTTTTAGTCTGTATATGCAACAGATCATTCGGGAGGCTGAATTTAATGAGGCAGAATGTGGTTTCAGAATTAGAGGAAGACACATCAACAAGGTGTGTTATACAGATAACACAACTTTGCTTGTGAAATTGAGGAAGACTTGAGACATTTGCTGCAAAAGGTTAAGGACTAGAGTCTTCAGTATGGATTGAAGCTCAATATCAAGAAACAAAGATGTTCACCACTGGGCCAATTGACAGCCCCACGATAGATAGGGAAGAGTTTTAGATTGTATACAATTTCAGCCTGTTTGGTTCCACAATCAATACTGTTGCTAATAGCAAGAGTAGTAGTCAAGAATAGCAATCATAAACTCAAAAGATAAATTAGGAAAATATATTGTCAGGTACCTTCCAGAGTGGAGATGAACAGTACTGTCAGTCTGGAGACTAAGGTGTGTCTGATCCAGGCTATGGTCTTTATAGTTACTTGCTATACATCAGAGAGCTGGACAATGACTAAGAATGGCATAAGAATTGATACCTTTGAGTTGTGGTGCTGTGAAAGAGTATTGAGCATACCATGGACTGCCAAGAGAACAAACAGGTCTGACCTGGAAAAAGTAAAACCAATTTGCTTCTTGAAGGAAAGATTGTGAAGCTCTGTTTCACATACTTTGGACATGTTACCAGGAGGGGCCAGTCCTTGGAGAACAGCATGCTTGGAAGGGTACAGGGACAACACAGGAGAGGGAGACCCTGGAAGAGATGGATTGACTCAGTAATTGGAGTAATGGGGATAGGTGTGTCGAATACAGTGAGACTAGCTCAGGACAGGGAAAAGTTCAGAGCTTTTATATTTAGGATGCTATGAGTCATAGGTGACTCCACTCGATGGCACAAGAAAACCAAAACATTTTTCTCTCATGTTGTTGTTGTGTGCCTTCAGTTTGGAAATGACCCATAGCTAAACCTTCAGGCAGTAAATGAAGATGGCAAAGGATAGAACAGGGTTCAGGTCTTTTGTTCATAGGGTTTCTGTGAGTCATACTTGACTCAACGACACCTAACAACAACAAATCCCATACTTCTCACACAGAGCAGCTGGTGCCTTTAAACCACTGTTTTTGGGATTGCAGTGCAAAACTTACTACCTAGTGTGTATTATAGAATATTCATATGCAGTACATATTCATATCATAACTGATCCACCTGTATTTACTAGCCAATATTTTTCAGAGTATAAAATGCATCAGAATTTAGGTCATCAAGACAACGTATAGAGAATTGTTTAACAAGAAAACACATTTTAAAAAAATCAGTATTTCATACATATGTGGATTTGAATTTTAACTGCTTTGGCCTTTTGATTTCAAAATAATAAAAGGAAATTAATTTATGAACAACCTTCCACAGTCCTTATTTGACAGCCAAAGAGGGATTACTCAATGAATCATAAGCTGTCACAGCAGATGCCTTGATAGTTAATTGAAAATTTCACCATGAGACCCTTCTTAACAGTTTAAAACTAGAAGACTGCTGTGTTTATTAGATTATCCTCACTCTTCAACTGCATACTAATCAGCACAGGACACTGTATGATTTTTTTTTTCACCCTGTAGGTTTTCATTGGCCCTTATGATTCCCTGGACATCTCCTGACACATTAGGAAGTCAAGGGTGTCAAAGTGTCCTGAGCGTCACAGTAAATACATCAAGCCTGGTGCAGGTTTCCAGACAGATTTGAAGGCAGAAGATAATTCCTGTTCATTATTAATAAGCTTTCCTCACACAATCTGCTTGTGGCCATGATTATGGCCTTTGCCACATGAACCAACTCCATAGTAATTTGTCATTATTTCAGAACCGCTGATGTTTCTTTGTGCTTAGGTCCATGGAAAGAGGAAGCTTTGTGTGATGGAAACTATTTGATGCAGTTAACATCACTCTTACTAACAGTTAAGACTATTTTAATGCAAAACTAGGATTTTAAAAGGTTTAGCTTTTGTCCATGCAAACAAGCAACCAAAACAAAATGTCACCAATGCTACTTGTTTTCCCTTTTACATAGAAGTATTAAATATCTGGCTTAAGAGAATTACAGTCTTTCGTTAGCTCCTTGAACTTTTGTGGATTGTTTTATTACTCAGTCACACAGGCATACCTTTGAAGTCTTAGGCACGTAATAGCCTTTCTCACCTTAGTTTGCTTGCAAACTAGGGTTGGTCATTCTTGGTTATGAGAACAGGCTGTGAGAATAAAGTGTTGTAGAATGTCAAGTGCATTGATAATGAATAAAGCCTTGTTATGACTTGTCCCTTCAAAGAAGCAACACAGTTTTACAAAGATGAGGTATATCTTCTGTCCAGTCTTCTCCAGCAGAGCATATGATCAGCCATGGTTTTGTGCATGCATAACTGCTTGTCACTTACTGGGGTTGTACATCATAAACATATAAAGCAAAGAATGTGCAGTACTTGTCTGAAGCTGTCCTTGTGGACCAAACATTAGAATTTTTAGTGATCTGACATTCTTTTATCTTTTACTAGAAATTGTAAAATTCTATTCTAGTTGAAAATGTAAAGAGTTTGTAAAATTCCATTATAGATATTTTGAGCTGAGTTTTTAAACCACAGCATCATGAAGGGAAGTAAATTTTCAGTTCTAGGCCATTAAAGTTTATTCATCTGTATATTAGTAAAAGAAGACCACAAATGCAAGAATACTGCTAACATTTTTAGTTACTGGTGGGGGGAAAAATTCTTATCATTCTCCTTATACTTATCTATGGTCAAGTCTCTTAGAAATGCATATTACTGATCATGAGAAAGAGATCATTAATCAATTTCTGGGAATATTCTTTCATATAAATACTTGAAAACATATGTTTTGTAATTTAAGATTAGCAGAATAATCTTATAATAGGCAAATCAATTTTATTAGGGTTTCCACAAATCCTAGAGTGGTGTCTACCAAACTCGATATCTAAAGATTTATCAGCTTTATTTAATTATATGTGTTTAATAAAATAATAAAACACAGATATTTTTAACATGAAGGTGCTTAATATGATGGTAAAACATTTACACTTGTGTATGGATTTAAAGAAATAAACTAGTCTTAATTCATTAATTTTAATGTCTAGCAATGCAACATACCCAATTCTGTTATTCATTTCATTACTATGCAGTCCCGAATGAGATCAGATTTCTCTCTCTCGTCTATAAATTGTGTTTCATGTTCCCATGTCAGGTGGCAGAGATGACTGAATGATTTTATAACTTATGTAATAGGTGATGTAAAAGTGTGATTTCTAGCGACATATGGTAGTGTTGTAATAAAAGATGTAATGATATTTCCTATTGTTTTACTTTTAGGTTGCTTTCAGCTATGTAATGTTTTTCGATCCCATGAAATGGAAATTGACCAGTGCTTGCTGGAGTCCCTTCCCCTCGGCCAAAGGCAGCGACTGGTGAAGCGCATGCGCTGTGAACAAATCAAAGCCTACTATGAACGAGAGAAGGCTTTTCAAAAGCAGGAAGGACTCCTGAAAAAGCTGAAGCATGGAAAGAATCAAAAAGTTCATTTTAACCTTGGTGACATGCTCCAGGATGCAATTATCCATCATAACGACAAAGAAGGTACTTACCAGAACAAATTTTGCCAAGTTTTATGAGAGATTTTCCATGTTTTTGTTTGCTTTAAATATAATACTTTTTAAATTATTATTTGTTGGTAGGGGGGTTAGGTGATAAAATTTCTTTTAAGTACTAAGGCCTCCTTTTTTAAACTGTCTGAGACTTTCAGAGGGGAAATATCATTTCCAATGATCATTGTTAGAAGTTCCAAATCTAAAAAAAAAAAAAAAGAAGAAGTTGCAAATCTCTAAATGCTATTGTTGAGTGTTGACAGTAAGTGAGTAAGTGTGTAAATCAGAATTGCTTCATTGGGATTTCAAAAGACTGCTTGTCAGAGTAAACCTAATTAGAATGAAGTCCTTAAATTATATGCTATGCATTAATTTAAAAATAATGAAAGGGAAAGGCATGTATGAAAACATATATAGAAAATCTTTTGTACCTTAAAAGTTTTGAGGTGATAGACAAATTCTATAACTTTAGAGTTGAAAAGAAATTCATAGGAGTGAAAGAATACACCCACTGTTTTCCCACTCCATCATGTTTAATATTAACAGTTCCTCTTTGCCCCAGCCCAAAGTGTTTTTGGGCTTGACAATTCCCTGAACGATCTCTAAGAAGCTCATAAAGCTGTTGATAATGTAGGAATCTCAGGCAAGTGGAGCATGGAAGCCTCAATATGTCTAAGATGCAAGCTTCTCAGAAGAATGCAGAGGTACATTCCATCCTCCAGGGGCACTAGGATGGTGATCTGGTCATGCTTTTTAGTAGAATTGAATCTTAGAAGATCAGGGGATAGGAAAGCCATTTTGAAAAGTAATCCCTTAACACCATATCCAGAATTTAAGTAGCAACTGTTGCTATTATAATGCTTTAGAAAATACTCATCAACCATCCAGATTGTTTCTGAGCACTTATATAAGTATGGAACTGTGCTAACACTATAGTGATCAAGGAACAGGAAAACTGTAAATCATTCCATCAAAACATCCATTCTGAGAAAGAGAGAAAATAACCCTACCCGTTACTTTTGAGTCAATCTTCCATTTATTTTCTGAGGCTGAAATTCTCTATACAAGGAGACTGACTGTCTTTCTTCCACAGAGTGACTTGGTGCATTCAGACTACCAACTTTTAATTAGCAACCCAACACATTGTGTACTACACCATCAAGGCTCCTTATAAATACAAAACCAGTTAAAAATAATGAGGTCAGTTGAACTGAAGTAATTGTCTAAGAGTCTTAAAAAGCATGATTTGTGAGAGACGGACCTTAAAAGTTAGGTAAGTCTTACCCCCACCCCAATGCCAGCCTGATGTTTATGGCATTGAAGTCTATGGGGGAGAGAATAGTCTAAAAGTATCATATTTTAGGGCATTATTTTTATCGTAGGAGTATGCAATGAGGGTTGCAGAGTGGATTATATTTGGGGGTAGGGGGTGGGGTTTGGGGAGGTGCGGGGGTGATTGTGTACCAATGAGGGAGTTTTTCTTTTGCTTTTCAAGGAGAGGAGCAAATGGGGGCAGGGTTTGTGCGGGGATAAGGGTGCAACAATGAATGGATGGAATTCCAAAATCTCTGCAGATAGATATTCATTGAAATGAAAAATAACCTAAATTTTAAAAAAAAAGGGGAAAAAAAGTTAGATTAGATGTTTGAAGGAAGGATGGGCATATGTGTCCCTCAGTGAACATGGAGCCGATATCTTGACTAAATTGTTGGACTTAAATAGTGTCCAAACATGGTAATCTATGTGACAGGAGTGGAAGGCAAAAGTAGAATAAGACATGTCAAGTTCTGATCTTGAAGCAGAAGCTAATGTGGGTGACACTGCAGTTTCCTAAAAAGGAAAATAATACGCTATAGAATTTCTAATGAAGATTCATTAATCTGGGAGATTTGTCAGTAAAATAAATGGAAGAATGATAATAAGTATTGGAAGCAAGTATATCAGGAACTTGACATAATTCCAGTCTATACACAGGAAAGTGAACTGTGATACTTGAAGCGAGAATGGGAGCAAAATGCAAAGACACGAACCATATGTCCTGTGAAAAAAATGCTGTGTGCATTAAGTCTTTATCATGTGTCAGGTTGTTGCCATTGTGTACTGTCAAATTGGAACCGACCAATAGCTGGCTCTCTAGTGGGTTTTCAAAGTCAGTAAATTGCATGAGAGGAGATTGTCCATCATTTTCCCACAGAGCAGCTGATGGATTTGAACCACATGCCTTTCGGGTTGCAGTTCAGTTTCTTACCACTAAGCCATCAAAGCTCTTTTATGTCAGGTAGTCATGAATTCAACAACAACAATAACAACATGTCTCCCTCTACGATGTCCGACTAACTTTTATGGGTGAAAATAATCAGATAAAGAATGATAAATATCTAAAGGAAAGCCTCTGATGGGGTGTAGCATTAACATGAAGACATCGGCAGAGTGAGAACCCAGGTGTTAGAGGGGCAGCTAAGCAACCAGCATGCTAGACAGAATAGAAAGTGAGATGAGTAGAAGGAGGTTAAATTGGAGAGGATGAGAACCTAGAGCATGATCATGTAATTACTTGAAGGGTCAAAGAATGAACTTTGTCTATTGTACTGAGTGGTCTCTGAGGCCATTTGAAAGTTTTGAGTCAGAAAGAGACCTCATTGTTCTTATACATATATAGGTTCTGTCCATGTATTGCATCCCATGTTGCCTCTTAGATGCTTTCATTGCCATCAAGTTAGAACCAACCCGTAGATGACCCTCCAGGGAGTATTCAGAGGTTGTAAATCACCTTGAAATAGATTGCCCATCTTTTTCCTGTGGAGCAGCAGGTAGATTTGAACCACTGGCCTTTGTATTAGCAGCATAATTCACTTTATGTTAGACCATTAGAAGGCTAGAAGCAAGAAATAACTAAAGATGTTTAAGTTACAAGCTAGGCATGAGGTGATGATGGTTTGTACTGAAGTGAGACAGGGCTATAGTGAAAAACAATCAAATTATTGCTATAATTTTGGAATAACATTGATAAGAAATAGTATTGAACAGACTTTAGAGAGTGCATTACTTTTATATTGCTGATTTGTAATGATTTATACTGCACATACATTTTTAAGCTGTTGTCTGCACAGATCAAAGAAATACTGCATAATGTAAAATCAGGAAAGATATGTATTAGAGTTTTATCTATTCTTCATATCAATTAAATTGGTATGATGAGCAAATAATTTTAGAAAATGGACACGATGTAGAATAACATAGTGTTAAGATTGGAGAAAGACTCATCAACATGCTGTGTTATAAAACAGTCTTCAATATGAATTCCCTTTCAACATGAAGTAAAGAAAAATCTTCACCACGGAACTGATACACAATACATAATGGATGTTGAAACATTTTAATTTATCTCTTATTTCATTTTGCTTGGATCGAAAATCAGTATTAATGGAATCAACTTCAAGAAATCATAAACATGTTGCATTGAGAAAATTTGCTGTCAAAGACTGTTCTAAAGTATTAAAGAGCAATGATGACAATTTAAAGACCAAGGTGTACCTGATCCAAGCTGTGATCTTTTCAGTTAATTCCTATGCATCTGAAAGTTTTATAGTGAATAAGGATGACAGAAGAAGAATCAATGTCTTTAAATTATGGTGTTGAAGATGAGTACTGAGTATTCTATGGATTATCAAAAGAACAAATAAGTTTATCTTGGTAGAAGCGAAACCAGGGTTCATCTTAGAGGCAAAGATGATAGAATTTCTTCTTACATAATTTGAACATGTTATCAGGAGGGGCCAGTTATTGGAAAAAGTCCTTAGAAAAACAGTCTATGCTGTAAATGATAGAGGTCAGAGAAAGAGAGGAAGACCCTCAACAAGATGAATTGACAAAGTGACTATAACAATGGGTTGGACATATCAGAGCTGGTAAAGATGGTAGAGGATAGGACAGAGTTCAGATCTGTTGTTCATAACATCATCAATAGTTGTAGTTGATGACATCTAACAAAAACCACAACAGTTCTGTTATGTTAGAAGCCAAATATGAGTTTCATTGGGTTAAGGAAAATGATAATATCCATAGACATTAACTTTCTAGGTTCTAGAAAAGAATGTTTGACCAAAAACCATTAAGAAGAGGCTTGACGGCAGCAGATTAGTCACCCACCTTTGGCTTCGGAGCATCACTTGTGGTCCACTAGGCCAACTGGTCTCTCTCTGTGTTATTAAGTGCTGTTGAGTCATAGGTGACTCATAGCGACCCTATGAACAAAATTCCTCGACACCTGTGTGACTTTAATCCTTTCACTGGGTTCATAGTGTTTCCAGAGGCAAGCTGTTTACGGAAGTGGATGCCACTCCTGCTTCGAAGCTTGTTTTAATCCGGGAGCACCACCAAACACTGTCCACCGTGGGTAACCATTATCCCATTTGACACATCAGTGTCATAGTGTTCAGCTTCACTGCAACCACAGTTTACCTCTGTAATGCAAGTGGACACACCAGGGCTACATTTCCTAGAAGAATGTTTGACCAACAACAATTTAAAACAGACATATAAATGACTTAAGTACCACAGAACAACACACTGCCCTCACAATCTCAAAGGTTGGGTGAGATCGCTTAGGGAATAGTTAGAAAAAAAAATACAGAAATTCTTAGGAAATATCTTGAGACACCTACGATTAAGAGTTGAGAGAAATTAGGTGGAAGAGCTATGAATGACCAGAAATTAAGACAGAAAATGAGAGCAGTATGCTGTGTTCCACAGGAAAAATCATAAACTGCATAGAATGCTACTGCTACATTTACTGCTAATGCTACGTAAGAAAGAGGAATTGAACTTTTCTTCATGTGCTTATTGGCCGTCTGAATGTCTTCTTTGGTGAAGTGTCTGTCCATATCCTGTGCCCATGTTTCAATTGGATTATTTACCTTTATCTTGTTGTGGTGCTCAAGTATTTTATAAATTCTAGATTTAAGTCCCTTATCTGATGTCATTACCAAATAT